AATACAAACGACACTGATCCTATTGCAGCAGCAATAGATTTTTCATCATTATATTCAGCTATACATCATGATTACAAGGGAAACAACATTTCGAATATAATTACGCAATTATTGCATATATATCAACCAAAAGATGGTATCAATACATATGAATATGTGCTGAGAAAAGTTCAAGCTTTACTAGAAGATTGTGGTTTCCAAAAAAAGCATCTATTGCTTTCAATGATTCCTCCTCCAGATAATACGTCAGACCAAATGATTAAAGAAGTGTTTCGTACAATTACAGGTTTTACTAAAATCAATCTGCAGGAAAAGTAAGCGATCTCTTTACACAGTACAATCTTTATTATATAATTGTATATCTCATATTATTACAATATTAGCAGCAATACATTTCAAAATATATCTGATATTAAAAATATGGATAAAATAACGGATATTTCATCACCAAAGCAAAATTTGTTATGCGATAAAAATATGTCGAATTTCAAGTCGTCGCTTTCCGAAGCTTTTCCTTTCCGAGGTTTTTCCGAAAGCGAGATTTCTATGATTCCCAATCATATAAAAAACGTAATTCATTTTAACAGATCCATATAATGCGATTTTTCATTCATTTGTAACTGATGTCAATTTAAGTTCTACATATTAATCAATAGGCAGTTTCATCAAATCATCTAAATAATAATTCGAAAAATTGGCTGGAGAGAAATAAGTATCAAATGCCATCTTATCGACAATATCTACTTAATAAAAAGTATTATGTACCGGCTAGAATTAATATGCATAATAATACCATTGCTGAATCACACCCTTGTCACTTGTCTCAAACGGTATATAAAGTTTGTTAGAAGAAAAGAGAAATAAAATAAACGAAAAAAGACATAAATAAAATAATTACAAGATATTAATACATTTTAGGATACATGCTCCACGAAGACTAGTAACAATACTGAGATAATAGATTTATCATGCGCGCAAAATAAGATTCCCCAACAATTTAATGATGTTAAATACAAATATAAAAAATATGAAGATGCATTTGATAAAAATAAAAAATCTGGCATTTCACATATGATAATCGACATTAGTCAAGACGCAACAACTAAACAGACAATTAAAGATGAGATATATAAAATGGATGTGTGTTGCGATGAAGATCAGAATATTATCATAAGTGTATGTAGATAAAATATAGGGAATTTTAGATTAATTTTAGTTTAGAGCAGTTCTAAAAATAAAATTAAATTAATTAAATTTTAGGCAGACGATCTTTTACCAACACCTAATGATAGACTTAAAACAAGCTTGAACAATTTTTTAAAACGAGCGCAAGAAGGAACTTTCGTTGGTAACATTATTCATTACATCAATGCCTTTAATATATTTTGTAATTATAGATAATATATAAAATTACAAAATTTCTCATGTATGCATACAGAATCGACCTTTCCACGCATCATATCGCATCCACAGGGCTTCTTGAATTTGGTATGTTTTACATCGAACGACCCAAAATCTGAAACATCACCGAAAGTTTTAGAAGATTTTACATCTAATATCTCAAATAGTGATACCAATAGCTGCTTACCTTTAAACAAACAGAACACAAATATCAATATACAAAAAAATCAAAAAGAATCGATTGAAAGGAGAAAACAAAAAGCTATTACTTATGTTAATGAATTGCAAAAGAAACATAATTCTCAAGAATTTAATAAAATAATTAAATTACAATTACAACAAAATAATTTAGATTATGATATGGAAAAGAAAGCGACTACATTTGAGTGCAAAGATAATACGGAAAAATCAAGACACGGGTAAATGTGTTTATTTTATCGAACGTCTTAGTCACACGTACAATGCCAAATAATAATAAAACGATTTCTAATTTAGATGCGAAACGGTAGAATCAAAATCGGATAATGTAAATTCTGCAAATAATTTTCAAGCTCGTTCAATGTCTGAACTAGCTGCATATAAGAAACGATATTATGACACGTTATTAAAGGCTCAGAAGGCGAAAGGTTAATTTAAAAAATTATATTACATATGTATATATATTTAAAATATTCTGTTAAGCAATCCTTCAGATATACTTCGGTGTACTTTGTATGGAATACAATAAAATATTGTGTTACTTAGACATAAAAAGTGTTAATAAATATATTGATTACTTAAATTTGTTACAGTTGCAATATCGAATTCTTTAGCGTCTCCATCGGGTCATTTAATAGCCTATGATGATCCGTATTATTCAAATTACATATGCCAGCAGCAACACTTGCTTCACCAACAGCGTCATACGACAGTGAGACCGCAATTTCCGGCATATCCGACGGATCTATCCGGATTATCGAGTGTACACCGTGATCAATACAGTTGGACGAAATCCATCTGTAAATATTTATTACTAAAGCAATTAAGACTTCAACGGCAGGTAAGAAGATATAGAGACATAAGATTATTCTAAGGTATATTTACTTACCGGATATTATTGCAGACATCGCCTCTGTATGCCCGAAATGAAAGGTAATACATTTATGTGCTTAATATAATTGAAATATATCAAAAATATGATCTTTGTTCTATATTGGAGTCGTATGTTATGTGCTATTTTTTCGATTTCTTCATTCTTCGAGTGGTTGGATTCATCGCTACGTTGGACACGTATATCCTTATTCTTCTATGTCAAATGGAAGCGATCAAACAAAGTACTGCGTACGTCGTAAAAACTTGGAAAACATAGTTGGAAAATTGAAGGAGATCGAACGTAATAGTATCGATCTTAATAATTGAGCGATTCTAATACATTAATTCGATGAAAAGTTCCATTGAAGTTACACACGCAAGTGATATTCCTCTTAATTCCTTAATATTTAATATTTTCGAATATCAATTTGAAGAATTGATTAATATAATAGTAATGATAAAAATGTTGAAAATTCATGTAATTATAGATTGATATTAGATGTATATAAGCTCGATATGAATCTTATTCTAAAATATTCTTTTCCATTAGCCTTGCTCGTGCGTTGAAAATAATTATTATGCATTGACAATGGAAATATTATGGTATATAACGATTTATAAATACATTTCTTGTTAGATATTCCGACCTTCCTAAGGCGTAGCTCTTATGAAGTTTAACAGATTGCGCAATGATTTTGATATTTCCATTTGTATTTCGGACGATTGCGTGACATGGTATACGCGCGAAATATAATGTCGTATTTAGCTGTCGCCAATCAAATTGTGTTTAACGCATTTACTAACAAATGTACATTGTTTTGTTCAAGTAACATTACACAAAGTTCACTCTGACTAGATTTGTGATATATTGTTAAGTAACATACACAATCACCCGCACAACTCCGCACAATCAATAGTGTATAATATTCGCCGTTCATTTTACTCCTAGATGTATAAAATGACATTTAAAAGAATATGTGATAATGCTATAACTTAGGTGTTACGTGACTCATGAATCATTTATTGTCTAGATCATTCGCTATCAGTTCGACAAATCACCAAGATGTCATACATCGCATGATATCTTTGCGTCATACTTGGCAATCTGCCCAGTCGTTTTATTTATATTTATATCCATTGTTTTCAGACTTCTGAAAAGACATTCGACTCACGATTCGCCTAACAATCCTACAATTAATATGTCGCTACAGTTTGATGTCCACTATAATTATTGGCAGCATCACATTATTCATTCATATGTAACGAAATATATAAATACAATGACACTATATATATTAATACCTGAATACATTCACATAAATATTAAAACACATTAAAAATATCTAAACAAGACAAATATTTCGTATTTGGGATACGTAACACATGTAACGTGACGTCTATCGTTTAGCAAATGAGGACTTAGGCCAGTTAAATTATTCTATTAGGAGAATTAAAACAAATTGACAGGAATTCATTCTGTAAAATTAAGTTTCTAATTTTCGATATCGTAAAGAATACATTCTGTAATTAATTGAATGTGTTCATTAAAATACCTATTTTAATCACAATAATTTTTCCTATCAATTCTTTTTAGCTCGCCTGATTTTGAAGGGATCTCAGGTCATATACAGATTTGGATTGTCATGCTATCACTACAGGTCACTGTCAATCGAGCTTAGTATATAAAGAAATTTGCATCTATTAATCGTAATCGAAATTTATTGCCTGAATGATAATTTATTCATACAAATTCTAAGGAAACAGTGCTTTTCATGTATCACAAACATACTGCTATTATTTATTATATTAACTTCGTTGAAGCAAATAATTTTACGAATATCAAAGTCAAATAATAGTTTAGTCTTTATTATAATAACGATGACTTTAATCCATTAGCTGTCTATTATGTCCTTATTTGATAATACTATTTAACAAATGATGTTTTTATATTTTTCCTGAAAAATTTGAGAATTAGCATTAAAAAGATCTGTTATTATTACAAATAACAATATGGAATGTGAAATAAAATGATATAAAACTACGTGTACGAATTCGAATTACAAACCTTGGATGTAAAGTCATTAAGAAAACTAATCGGTATTACATTACATTTAAAAAGAGCGTTATATTTCCTCTGGCAGTGTTTGTACACTTTGATCTCGCTCAAGGCTAATTGTTTTATTACGCCAAGTGATATTGATAAATTAGTTACTCCTAATAAAACATAATTTATGTTGAGATACTCACTCATAATTCTCAGCATACCAAAGATAAATTATATAGAAAAATTACACACTATAATATCTCCAATAAAACAAGTTGATACTTTATATTTGCCACAACGAAGCTGCTGTATTACATCTCGTTCTCTTTATGAATCTATATGAACACGCATTTCTCTTACACTATTAATTGATTTAAGGTTGACGCATCAAAGTTCGATAAGTGTATAATTTATTTGTGTTTACACTCGCGGCATCGTATCAAAAGACAAAAAATAGCTGTTGTTAGACAAAATAGTTGTCTTAATCAAGATTAGCTAACATGTTTATATTCATTCGATATAATGGTCGTGATACATTGAACAAAGGAGAAACAAGATATTATAGAAATTCTGAAGACTAGATAATGCTGTTATATATTAAAAAAGACTCAATGGAATTATCAATCAGGAAACAAGCGCTTAATAGTTTTCTTCTAAGATGAATTGTACTTCTAACACGATATGTATATACTAAAAAATACTTTGCTCTTTAATTTGATGGATTATTAAGAAGATATAGTTGTACAAAAAAGTGCTTGACCAGAGTTGACTAGACTCTTTCATTAAAAGATTAATACAATAAATAATACTATTCATTTATAATAATTTTAAAACTACGTAAGACGTACTTATAAATAATGCATACAGGAACAGGGACGGATCATTCTCTTTTAATAACTTAAATCAGCAAAAATCTATTAATTATGTATATGAAAAAATTCAGTTTAAAGATTTAAGATTTAATAAAAAATAACCAATTACAATATATATATAAACATTTTTTAAATTAGTATTATTTAATTTGGTTAATTATAATTAAACTTGTAATTTAAGTGTTTGTTCCGTCCTTGTGCAAGAATGATACTATTGTAATATAATGAGCACATTTCAGAGTGTGAGCTAATTGGAATAATACAATAAATAATCGTTCCACGCATACTATTCTGTTCATACGGGAACTAATGCCAAACCGATCTTCCAATGCAAAGATTAAGTCTTATAATTTTATTAAAAGTCAATAAAAAGTTCTCTCTATATGAAATTATTTTTAGCATTTTTCTCAAAACGTGCTTTAATAAAAATTTAAAATTCTATAAGGCCATTGTGTGAAATATATATTTATAAAGGTATTGTCATTGCAAAATAAAATATTATCGTGATTTTACTATTACACCGATTATTAATAAGTCATACGTTTAATTAAAATTTAAAACAAAATTTAATTAAGAAAATTATTTTATAATTTTGCGAATATATAATCTTTTCCTTTATTAAAAACTTTATTAAAAGCATCGTTTATGATAATTTCATAAACTTCGATTTTCGCATATTTTATAATCACATCGTAATTTTTTAAGCATTTTAAAATAAATTAATATGTTTAATTATATATATATAAAACCAGTTTCATTTCCTTAAATAATATTAAAATTTAATTTAATAAAAGAAGAATCTTGTGCGCTTGTGTTTCAAGAGTTTGCAATTATATATAAATTTAAATAGACAAGTTACAGTCGCAAATTACAGTTGCAACTACCGTTGTTTGTATGTAGGATAGAAAGATCGGTCTAGCTGCATTTTATTATGTATGTATATAATCCTTCAAGGTTTAATATATACAACTTTCTTAAAGAATAGGCAATTTCTCCCTGCATGTACTAAACGCTTTTTCCAAGTATGCATGGAGCTCAAAATATGTTGGCATCAAAATATGATAGAAATAATTAGTTAAATATATATTAGTGTTACGTGCTATATAGTGGTCTTATACTTATAAAATCCCATTAAAACTTACTTAGATTTATTATTTGGTACATGATTGGAATGAAGTGGCATTATTTGCTTATCAAAGTTGGGCAGTCTGGTTTTGTGATGCAAAACGTCAGGACCCGAACAACTAAAGAAAACCTATCCTCTTGGCAGCAAAATGTACAAGGCAGCAATAATTTTATACAAGATCTTAAATCTTTGGACACATGTTCGTCCTGCAAAATTCGATAACGACGAACTTGATGAGCCCTATAATAAGTCCGAGCTATTTTTTCACCTATTGCATGTACGAAATATAGTAATCTATATATTTTACGTTAACATTCAATTTCATACACAGTTGAAAACACAGACACAAAATATAAAATCAAGATAGTTTTCTACTTCAGTCATTACGCATCATTTAATATTAAATATAAAATCAGACATTTTGTATGCAAGCAAGAAAAAAGTACAAAATTTCAATTGTAATATCATTACTGTATTGAATAAAATGTTTATAGACGTAAAGTATATAGATATACTCGGTTTATAAAAAATTTTGTTATGTCACAAATTGTTCACAGAAACTGCTCGATAGAACAAGTTTATTTTTTACCTAAAATGTGTGCTTCATATTTCACAAGACGTTCAGGTAAAGCTGTAAGGATCGATAGTTTTGCTAGAACAAGGTTGAACATCATCTGGTGGTGGGCGCCACTGTCCGGACCACATAGCATTACGAACCACATTCGCATCAGTAGTTTCTTCTATACCGTTGCTAGACGTACATTCCGCCTCCCAGTTTCGAAGACCGTTTCGAGTCACTCGATTGATCGATCTAGCCTCATTCATTTCACAATAATTCTGTGCGTCATTGTTCACTGGCATTCGTCTAGTTTTACTTTTAATTTGCGTAGTACCACTATTTCTACATTCAGTTTCGGGCCACGGCTGAGACTGCTCCACTGTAGACTGTAGAGGTAACTTTCGCGGTACTCTTCTAGTCTTCGCTTCCTCCGCAGTAACAAGATTAGCATCGACTTTACTATTACTTGGCGCGGTTCCATCACCGGTTGAA